AGAATGGTGCTGAGGACTACTGAGAATGGTGCTGAGGACTACTGACCTTCTGTTGTGTGTTTGATACGTATCCGTTGTTGGTGGAAGTGTTGAGTATAATGGCGGACAAGTCGACGACCCTCTTCTCTGCTTCAGAAACGAGAGCATCCAGTCTGTCTGACCGACTGTTGACATACTTCTGGACTAAAGATCAGACATGATTTAATTAATTAATGGTAACAATTGGTAGCCAAGCGTTTTGAAATTACAAAATGATTATCAGATTGGTTATAGTAAAATGAAATGATCACACGTTTGTTGTTTGTGATTTTCCAAAGTGACCATAAATTTGCTAAGGGACATTTTGTGACTGAATTTGTACTCAAAAGTAACCATACATTCCTAGGTTGACAGTTTCTCATACCCTTTATATTTTTTAATTTCTTGAGTGTGACTATCTTTGAAATGACATTTGAATTTGTCAAAAGATCATTCTGAAGCTTCAGTTTTGATGGAAAACATTGACCATCTGTACTTAACGTAAAAAACCCTAAGTATTTGACATTTGTACTTAGACTTACAGAGTGGACTTTCCCGAGCCCCATGTAACAGCAGCATCTTAGCCATGGGGATGTTGTTGGTCATAACCGCCACATCAAGGGGAGTTAACCCCTCACTGTTCGTACTGAAAGTAAAAAGAAGCTGTAAGTCAAATGTCACTTAAACTGATTGAAAAGTTCATTCTAAAGGTCAGGACTCAATGAATAACTTAAATTGTGTTACGAAGAATGAGGGTTAAGAATATTAAACATGAATCAAACTTGGGGGAAAGTGGGGTTTGGGGAGGTTAGGGGCAGGATGGTGATGAGTAGAGAGGGGTAAGGATGGGGTTTGTATTTCCGCAATGAATTTAATTTTACATTAGAAAAAAATATGTTCTAGTTATCACAGCCCACCTGGACATCCAAAATGAACCCCTAGACCCGTACTAACATGTATAGCGCTGTTAACTGACCTGTTGATATGTAGCCCGCCAACATCCAACACCGTTTTTGCCAGGTCTATATTCTGCTGTTCCACTGCATCAAACAGAGCTGAAATCATACAAGAAAGAAAAACTCCAAAGTCAAATTTTTGTTAGTTTTCAGAATATACTGAATGACCTGGCTGTTCAAAGACATGCATTTTTGTGTACCATTTAAATATGTCATCAACTTGTATGTAGTTTTTAAATGTCATAAATCTTGTGTATCTTTTAATGATGTCATGAATTCTTGTTTTCCTTTTAATATGTCATCAATTCTTGTTTACCTTTTGAAAATGTCATCAGTTAGTGTGTATCTTTTTAATTTCATCACTTCTTGCGTATTTAATAAATATTTCATCAATTTTTGTTTACTTCTTAAATATGTCATCAATTCTTGTAAATCTTTTAAACATGTCATCAAATTTTTTATGTACTTTTAAATTTGTCATCAGTTCTTGTGCACCTCTTAAACATGTCATCAACACTTGTGTACCTTTTAAATGTCATCCTTCTAGTGTACGTTCAATTCTCACATATACCTTTCAAATATGTCATGTAATCTTCTGTATTTTCTAAACATGTCACCAAATCGTGTGTATCTTTTAAACATGTCATCAATTCTTGTGTATCTTGTAAATATGTCATCAACTCTTGTGTACATTTTTATATATCATCAATTAATTTACAAAGTCCTAATTACCTTTCATAAAAGATATTATAAGATCCTCATCATAGAAAGGAAATGCGTGTCATGATAGAATTAGTCTATATCATTAAGTTGTCTCATTTTACAATGGAGGTGTTACATAAAATTGCCTGCATGACGCCACCATTGTAAAGTTACCTCTGGGTGAATTTCACACTTTAAACAAGTACATTGTAAATCTTTTAACACGTCAGTATTTAAATGTAAAGGTAATTTAATTATGACCTAGGGCTGTAACTGAGAAGCTATAATTATATATCGCCCCCTGCATGACTCCCCATAATTAAGTTACCACCCACAATGCCTTATTTCCCCACGTTTATATTTAATATCTGAATAGGGTACTAATGAGTTTATTAATGCTATCATAATTAATTGATGTCAATTAAAACTGTATGAAATTAAATCGAACCAATTGAAAGACGAGCATTCCATGTTAGATAATTACATCAACGGACATATTAACTCATACAAAAATATGATGGTTTCACATGCATGGGTCCATATAATAGCTACAATGTTTAAAAACTTTCGTTGAAGTCCATTTTATATTGTTACGTAAAAGCAGACTGGACAATTTTTAGTAAATCAAGGACCATAACTCTATCTCGTTAATATTAATGGAAACAACAGGACTATCATACCTGCATGGTTTAAGTGATTGGTAAGAAAAGTGCAAAATTCTATTAAAAA